TTAAACGATTCGCCGGGGGGGGGGGGGGGGGTCCCTGCCGCTTCCAGCGCCATGCGCATCTCGTAGGCGCTCATGCTGCCCGACTTATCCAGGTCGAATTTGCGGAAGATGGCCTGCGAGCCACCAAAAAAAAAAACCAAACCCAAAACCAACAAATTAATAAAATTAAATTAAAATTAACTAAAAAGGGGGGTCAGCCATGAGGAGAGAGACCCCAAAACCTCCCCCAGACCCACCAGGTAGTTGCGGATTCGGTTCCACAAGACGTTGAACTCCACCAGCCCCAGTTTCCCGTTGCCGTCTTTCTGCGGGCCGGAAGGCGGTTAAGAAAAATGGGGATTTTTGGGGGGGTTTTGCCCCAAAAAACCCCCCCACACCCCCCTCCGATCTTTATCTGCAAAAAAAATAATAAATCTCAGCGTTAATGAATTACATGGATTAACGAGGAGCGGTGGGGGGAGTCCCCGCCCGGCTCACGTTTGCCGATGATGCGGTTGAGGATGGTCTGAAGCTCCGTCACGCTGATCTCCATGTCCTGAGGGGAGAAGACGCGTTGGGCACCGACGGCCGCGGTGCCACCGACCGCCGGCATCACCGCTCCCGGCACAACTCTCTTACCGCCCCCGCCAGCTGCTTGAAGAGCTGCTTGAAGTTGTCATCGATTTGGCTTTCGGAGAGCACTTTCTGAGGGGGGAAAAAAGGCTTTTTTGGTAAAAAGGTGACGCCTTGGCACCCTCCGGGTCGTTCATCCCCCTCACCTCATCCGGGAGCGTGGCTTGGATCTTGTCATCCATTTCCCTGCGGTGATAAGAAAGGAGAGGTTTGCCCTCAAAAGAGTCGGCGGGGCGTCGTTAACGTTAACGAGGCTGTGGGTGTCTTACTCGGTACCGGCTTTCTTCTCGGAAAAGACGCGGAGAACGAAATCTCCTTCTTTGTTGGGTTCGAAGGTGGAGGGTACCACGATGTATTCTCCCGGCGGCAGCCGGAACCGCGTGCTCACCTCCCGCAGGTTGATGAACTGCTCCGAACGCGCGCGGGACGCGTTGGCCAGGAAAAAATCCCGCTTCAGGTGGACTCCCGATTTCCCCACGTGCTGCCGGTTAAAAATCACCCAAAATAACCCTCCAAAAAAACACCACCTTCCGTCTTTCCCGATTACGGCGCGGTAACGGTGATGATAGCACCGCCGGCGAGTCGTACCCACCTCCGGAGGAACCTGGAAGGAGAAGAGGAGAAGTGTCACCTCTCTGTCAGGCGGTGGCACCGGGTGACGGCACCGGGTGACGCCGTTACCTCGTAGACGGCGAAGCCGATGGTCTCCATGTCTTTGCCGTAGCGGCGTTCGCGGCGCCGGTGCTTCTGCATCAACGCCAGGAGGAAACTGCAACCGGGTTCGCGCCCGCCGCCCTCATCCCCGTCATCATCCACCTCCTCCAGCTGGATCTTAAACTGGGGGTTTATCCAGAAAGTGGCTGCGGGGGAAAAAAAGAGCAAAAAAAGGTTAAATCCACACCGATTTTTTAATTTTTTTTTTTTTTCTGAGGGGAACCTCCTCGCTCACCGGGGTAGTGGCGACAGCCGCCGGCCGTGCTGCCGCGTCGCCACGTGCCGTCGTAGAGCCGCGTGTTCCACTTGCGGAATTTACGGGATTGGAGAGCGTCGGGGGGGAGGTTACAGATCTCCAGGCGGGGAAAATTCCGTAGGAAATCCCGGAAGGACATCCTGGAGGAAGGGGAAGCGCCGAAAATGGGGAGCGGAAAAATTTCCTTTCTTTTCCTGGTGCAAAACAGCCGGAAAAACTTTTTATTTATTTATTATTATTTTTTAAATCTTTTCTTCGCTTACCAAAATTCACCATCCTCCATTTTCACCATCAGCTGCTGCCTCAGCGCCGGTTCCACCGTGTTCCACTCGGCCGAACTGCGGACGGCAAACAGCTCTCACCCTCAGCCCCCCTCCGCTTACGTTAATTAACGCTAACGAAGCCTCCTGATCCTCACCTATCGCTCCAGGCTCCCGTCCACTCCACCTCTCCCCAGGGATTGCGCATACGGATCAGGCCCAGGGATTGTCCGCGGTAGTTGATCTGCGAAAGGCGCCGTCAGGGCTCCCGAGCCAAAAACCCACCGTTTTCTCCCCAAAACGGCGGCGGCTCTCACCTGCTTGGCCCCCGTCACCGAGTACGCGTGTCCCTTCACCAGCTTCTTGAAGGTCACCGCCTCCATGTCGAAGGCGCTCGTTATCTGCGAGGAAACGAAGCCGGCAGCCGCGTTAACGGCACGCGCCGCAGCGCTTATTCCACCACCGGGTGCGGATCCCCCCAAATTTTCATTTTTTTCACCCAAAACCATCCCCCTTTTTCTCACGTCGATGGAGCAGCCCAGCAGGGAACCGCGCTCCAGCGCTTTGAGGATGATCTGGTAGAGATCCGCCGGAGGTCGGCGCAGATCGTACCACTCCGTCACGCCGCCGGTGAAGTCCTCGAAACCCTCCGAGGTGCTGCCGCCCGACAGCGCCTCGTAGCACCCGTTCACCCTACGAGATCGGAGCGGGTTTGGGGTGGTTTTTTTGGGGTGTTTTAACCCAAAAAAAAAAAGAAAAGGAAAGAGGAGGAAAAGCGCGGAGGGTGTACTTGGCGTAGGCTTTCTCCAACAAGGCGCTCCAGAACTCGGTGCCCTCGGCGGAGTGGACGAAGAGCAGTTTGCCGTCTTTGGTGGGCAGGTAGTCGTCCACCACCACGTCCAGCCACTCGCCGAATTGCCAAATCTGAAGAAAAAAAAGGCAAGACGAAAGAAAAAAAAAAAAAAATTATACATTTTTATTCCCAGGAGTGGTATTTCGAGGAGAAAATAGCCGGGTTTTTTGGGTACCGCAGCGGCAAAGCTCCGGCGGGGATGATGTACCAGGGGAACGGCGGCGGCAAAATCTTCTCAAATGGAAGGGGAGCCCCAAAATGGTGGAGGAGAGCCCCAAAATGGTGTAGAGGAGCCCCAAAATGGAGAGGAGGAGCCCCAAAATGGAGAGGAGGAGCCCCAAAATGGAGAGGAGGAGCCTTAAACCAGTGGAGAATCCTCTCAAAATGGAGGAAGAGTCCCAAAATGGTGGAGAGGAGCCCCAAAATGGTGGAGGAGAGTCCCAGAATGGTGTGGAGGAGCCCCAAAATGGAGAGGAGGAGCCTTAAACCAGTGGGGAATCCTCTCAAAATGGAGGAAGAGTCCCAAAATGGTGGAGAGGAGCCCCAAAATGGTGGAGGAGAGTCCCAGAATGGTGGAGGAGAGCCCCAAAAGGGAGAGGAGGAGCCTCAAACCAGTGGGGAATCCTCTCAAAATGGAGGAAGAGTCCCAAAATGGTGGAGAGGACCCCCAAAATGGTGGAGAGGACCCCCAAAAGGGAGAGGAGGAGCCTCAAAACAGTGGGGAATCCTCTCAAAATGGAGGGAGAGCCCCAAAATGGTTCAGGGGAGCCCCAAAACGGTGAAGAATCCTCTCAAAATGGTGGAGGGGACCCCCAAAATGGAGGGGATACCTCCAAGATGGAGGAGGAGACCCCCAAAATGGCGGGGGACCCTCTCAAAATGGCGGAGAGGAGCGCCAAAATGGTGGAGAAGAGGCCCAAAATGGCAGGAAATCTTCTCAAAATGTTTGAGGAGACCCCCAAAATGGAGGGGGAGCCCCAAAATGGTGAGGAATCTTCTCAAAATGGAGGGGAGAACCACCAAAATGGAGGAGGAGACCCCCAAAATGGTGGGAAATCCTCTCCAAATGGCGGAGGGGAGCCCCAAACTGGAGAGGGAGAACCCCAAAATGGTGGAGATGAGCCCCAAAATGGTGAGGAATCCTCTCAAAACGGAGGGGGGACCCCCAAAATGGTGGAGGGGCCCCCCAAAATGGCGGAGGACCCTCTGAAGGTGGAGAGGAGGAGCCCCAAAATGGTGGAGGAGA